GATTGGCCCATTAGCTCAGGCTTCTTATTAACTCTTACAACTTATATTAACCCATTATTCTTACATATGTTAGCCACATGGCTTGGTATCTTTTTCAACGGGGCAATCACATCTTCCTTCTTTTGTAGTTGGGACTGGACTGGGGAGGAATGGGAACCTTGCCTGTAAGCCACAGCCACGTGGTGATGTACAGATTCATAGAAATGGGTTAAATTAAGATATAAGAGTTAGCCAATAAGCAGCTAGAGCTAATAGGCCAAGCAATGATTTAATTAATACAGTTCCTATGTGGTTATTTTGGGAATCTGAGTGGCCAGGAAACAAACAAGCAGCCTCCTACAATAAGCATGTATCAATAAATATTATAATAATAATATTCACAAATGTGTAAATTATATAACATTATACATTTTCATCAATTAAAAATAACTTTACTATAAAAAACAAGATTAAAAACTGGGAATGATAAGACTCTCTTACAAAGACAGAGTAGAATCATTCTTATCTTACTGTGGATAGTAAATGATCTTTACGTGTAACTAAAACAGCAAATAGCAAGAGTCCCCTGAACCCAGATGCCTCCTGGAAAAAGGCTTTCTGTTTCTGTCATTTTGCAGTTAGAGCTAGACTGTCATTCAGGACTCAAATGTCACCTTAGAATGGCTTTTTCTGACCACAAACTTACAGTTAACATAATAGTCCTCTGTTACTATCCTTAGGCCATTTGCTACTCCTGTACTCTCTCCTTTCTCCTTGCTAAACAAACTACCTACAACAACAACAAAATTGCTTTATTGTGTTTCTCATCTTTACAATGTATCCTCAGAATTGGACAGTTTTGGTTTTAATTCAGTGATGTCTCCTGCATATAAAAATAGGTATGGGGCTGACACGATGGCTCAGGGGTAAAGGCACCTGCTGGTGACCTGAGTTCCAGCCCTGAGACCTGCATGATGGAAGGAGAGAGCCACCTCCTGCAAGTTGTCCTCTGCCCTCACTGCTCGTGGTGGAGCATTCGCCCCTCCCCTCCCCCGACACACAGGCACAAGTAATGAAAATAATTTTCTTAGAAAATGAAAAATGCCTATCCCATGTTTTCTTTTCAGTATTTCTAGAATGAACTGAGCGATTTCCCTCTATCTACCTATCTACCCAATAGGAACTCCTCAGAACCTGTGCTTCTAGATATGTCCCATGCTAGGAAATGCTGGGGGAAGAGAAACTGACAGAAGCAGAAGGTTGATGCATGTTAAGATGTTTGTGACCAAATGGAGAATATGGAGTCACAGTGAGGGAGAGTGCTGGGGAGGGTGGGAAAAAAGCCACCATCTGTTGTGACACTGTTAGGACATGAAGTTTTTTGGGTATTTTATTCTTTGAATAAGTGGTTATCTTTTCTAATTCATTGGTGTCTAGAAACAAAAGATAGTTTAGTTCTACCTTTTGCACACACAGAAACAGGTATAGAGAGATAAAAGATCTAATCCAGTTAACTGATAAACTTACAGTCCATTTTCTGTCTGTTATTATTACTCAGATCTCTTGATATATGTTAGTTTATCGTATGGAAATGGTGTTGGCTTATATTGTGTGTGTTTGGATTTTCATAAGTATTCATTGTTCTTCCTTTTTCTGTAGGTAGAAAACAGACCAAAATATTACGGAAGAGAGTAAGTATGGATTATCAGAAAATACCTTGTAGGTTTATATGTGTAAAAGATACAGGTAAATGCATGCTTTTGGAAAAATACAGGATGAAAGAAATATTCTAGTTTGGTGGGATCCAATTCTCTTTATCTGATTACAGGTATAATTATTACTGGTCTAAAATGGAAAATAAAGGCCACTATTAAAAGAAAATGCCATTAAAAAAAAAGAAAATGCCATGATAAAGTAAATATGCTAAATGTTAAAGAAGCAAGAAGCAAGCCATATAAATACTTACTCATAGGTTAATATCAAGAACGTGTATATATTTATGTACTAGGTACAACAAAACATACAAATAGGTTCAATGGAATTCAGACAGTTTATTATATATTGCCCCCTTTTTTCTAGTTTTCAGTATTATGTAGTCTCTTTCCAAAAAAGTGATTCATATTATCCAGAGACATATTAAAAATTTTTGTACACTACCTTTTGAAGATGTCTTTTTAATGCTATTTATTAAGATAGAGCATCGCTGTGAAGTCCTGCTTTCTTCTGTGGTGGAATTTCTGGCAGTGGCAGTGCAGCAGTCCCCTTCAGGCCCGTGCCCCTGCAGCAGTCCCCTTCAGGCCCGTGCCCCTGCAGCAGTCCCCTTCAGGCCCGTGCCCCTGCAGCAGTCCCCTTGCAGGTTTTATAGAATTTATATCTTGTACATTTGCAGTTTGAGTTTTCTGCTTAATATTTATAATGAGCATTATAATATTTTTAAAATTAACTTCATTTTAGTTCTATGTTTGGGCAATAGGCTGTACCAAAAATTATTCAAAATGTTGTTTTAATGTCTAAATTCTTAATTTTTCTGATTATTGAGAAATATATTGAGTAATATAGCACTTTGAACAAAAGAGTAAAAAAAATCACCTATAATTCTTTTTTTTTTCACCTATAATTCTTATCACACCCCCTCCCTTTTTCGTTTTTTGTTTTGTTTTGTTTTTGTTTTTCGAGACAGGGCTTCTCTATGTAGCTTTGGAGCCTGACCTGGAACTCGCTATGTAGATCAGGCTGACCTCGAACTCACAGAGATCCGCCTGCTTCTGCCTCCTGAGTGCTAGGTTTAAAGGCGTGGGCCATCACCTGAAAGCAGATCAGTCATTCTTAACCTTCCTAATACTGTTACCCCTTTGTCCAGTTTTTCATGTTGGGGCGACCACAACCATAAAATTATTTTTATTGCTACTTCAAAACTATAATCCTGTTAGTGTTGCGAATTGTAATATCTGTGCTTTCCAATGGTCTTAGGCAACCCCTGTGAAAAGGGTCATTCAACCCACAAGGGGTTGCTATTCACAGGTTGAGAACCACTGCCCCAGATAAAAATCTTTGTTTTTCATTGGGGTGATATCAAATAACAATGTATATGGCAAGTATTTATAAATTATTTACAATTCCAGGTGTGTTGTTTTAGTCTTGGAATGGTCCATAGGCAGCCTGCCTGTGAGCTGAGGTGAGAGTGATCACACAGCTGAGAACCCGTCCTTTCAGTCTTAAGAGTTACTCAGTTGCTCTCTCATCAGGAGTACTGGACACAGAAGTGGATCAGGTTTTCGGTTGCAGATTCATGGGTTAGGGAGGTTTACTCTCTAATGCTAATAGTAACTCCCAGAACCTCTCACTGCATACCATTTAAAGGGATACAAATATTGGACCACTTGGTACAAATCCTTTTAAGGTTCTTTAAATTTCATTATTAAAGTGTGTTCCATAGTTTGAATTTGATTGCCTTTTAAGGTAATTGATCTTTGTTTTAAACAGCTAGCACATTTTGCCAACTTGATTCACTGATGGCATGGCACATACAAAGTGTAGACTATCTAATGAGGGTGTCACATCGGGGATGGTGCCATCTTACTTGCAGTAGATTCAGTATACGGCCCATGAACCTAGTTCTAAAAGCTTGAGAAATAATGAAGATGAAAAATTCAGGAGACCAGTTAGAGCATTTCTGGTTGATGCGATTTAAACATAATTGGCACAAACAATTTTAAGTCTGCACCAAACCTACTAGGAAAAACTTCAGAGAGTTAGTAGCCTATTACCCCAAGCAAAATTCCTGGGTTATTAAGACGTCAAAGAAGGGCCTTTAAAATTTAATCCAAAGTCAAGTGACTGGTGTTCTTTTGTACTATGGGAGCTGTGATGTTTCTTTTAAGCAATGAGTTAGCTGTGGTGAGACTATCGCCATCCTCCCTGTGATGCCTGAGCCTTTGAGATAGCAGGCAGCTCCCAGCAGACAAGAGTGTAAGCCCGCGATTGATGAAGTGCGGACAAGGGCATCACAGAACAAGTAGTGAAGACCCACTGCGATGTCAGAGGTTGTCTATTCATATGTTTTTACTTTGTTATTTTTCAGTAATTTTTAATGTCCTTAGGACTATTGTGGGTCATTTAGGGAAGAATGAATGATTTTTAGGAACTCTGATTTTTTTTCTCTTAGGAAAATGAATGGGAGAGCTAGGCAAGTTTGTGTATGTATTTGTTGTTGTTGTTTTTGAGACAGGGTTTCTCTGTAACAGCTGTGGCTGTCCTGGAAATCACTCTGTAGACCAGGCTGGCCTCAAATTCACAGAGATCCACCTGGCTCTGCTGGGCTTAAAAATGTGTGCCACCACCACCTGGCTTGTGTGGTGTTACATTTATGTCTCCTCTTCTGGATGAGACTCAGTCTCCCAGGACTCTGCTGGGATTCAGGTCCTTTTCTGGTAGTTTGTCCTTAGGTAGATAAAGAGATAAAGTACCAGAACGACTTTTCCTGGTACTGGCTGTTTGTCTTGTGCTATCAGAAGAAGATAACATACTAAAGCAACACATTTGGGGTGGCGTGGCCTGTACTCCTTTATAGTCTTTGAGTTCTAAAAGGACATGATATATGACTTCACGAATTGAAAATCCTCATACAGGTGTAAAGTGATTCCATACTTTAGATATTTGCTACCACTGCCGCTTCACTTCCTGTGTTCTGTATCAGGTTGTTGTAAATGAATCTTTCCAGAAAAGATGCATTTATTATTTGTGTTTATTCTTCCTTTTTTTTCTTTGTTAATGAAAGATAGGATTTGGACAGGAAGCCAAAGCAAGTGCTTCTGCTTGTGGTCTGAGTATTCAGCAATACACAGTAAGCACATTATTGGGTGATCATGCCAATTAAAGACTGTCAGGGGCCTGGACAGTTGCCAGCATGGACTTCCAGCCAGAAGCGTGGATCATAGCACCAACTGGGAAGAAGAAATGAGATAAATTCTGTGGATTATTCTTTAGCAAGCCCATATGGTCAAATGGTTACAGGTGTTGGATCCTGCCTTAGATGGATGTGGATTTTGCTCCCTGGCTGGGAATTAGACTCAGTAGCTACTTTGGTGCTGTTCTTATCACAGAGAAGCTGGCCAGGGGCCAGGTCCACAGAATCGCAAGCACAGTTAAACTCAAGTGCTTTCTTCCACGGTGTGACTGAAAGCAACAGGTGAGGGCAGAGGTCATGTTTTGTCCTCTTATATTAAAACACTGTGGAGAGCCAGGTCTCTGATTGACTTTGTTCCATAGGTTTCATGGCATGATCTCTAGAGAAGAGACTGACCAGCTCTTGAGTTTGGCTGAGGGGAGCTACCTCATCCGGGAGAGCCAGCGACAGCCGGGAACATACACTTTGGCTTTAAGGTTGGTCCTGGACCTACAATTATAACTGTGCTTTGTTTTAAACCTTCTTAATAGAGGACTTTAAAATTTAAAGACATCCAGCAAGTAATTGAATTGGTTCTTGTTTTCTTGGGACCTAATTACCATTTTAATATCTTTGAGACCCTTTAAAAACTGCCCATGAATGGTAACCCTCGGTGAGTAAGGATTCAGACACTTTAAAGCATGTTAGTTATAGTTGCTTCCTTCCGTCATTCCCTTGCTCTCCGTCTTGCTGGGTCAGCTTCCATCTATTTCTCAAATAAGGAAAGATATCAAAAGAAGTTCTTTGTGACTGATGAACCTAAAGCCAATGTCATTTCTTAAGTTGCATTTTGGTTGAAATAGCTTTTCTTGAACTCTTGGCTCTTCTCTACGATTTCGGATGTTCCTAGCTGACAGTGTGGTGCCTAGAAACAAGTATTTCCATTAGCCCTGCACTCAAACCAGTAATAGGAGCAGAACTGTAGCAACGTGACTGTTCACTCGGCTTTCGCTGTGCCAGACTTCTAAGTGTACTTAATCTTCAAGACAGTTCTCTATATCATTATTTTCGTTTTACAGTTGAGGAAACAGAGGGGGCCTGGAGGTAGATTAACACTGCCAACCATGGTCACACGTACAATAAGTTGTGCTAGTATTTTAAGTTTGTCGGACTTAGAGTGTGCTTTTAAATACTGCCTTCCCGCCTGCCCCAAGGCTCAGAGTAATGGCTTGTTGTCTTTGTCCCACTCTTCCTGGGTTATCTACACTGTCCCTTTGAGTTACCCTAAAGAGCAAGGGTAACTTCCTAAGGAAGTGGTGAAGAAACCATAGCACACAGAAGGTAGAAAGATGCCAGGGCTTTAACCTGACTCTTCAGCTGCCCCGCCTCTGTGAGTGAGCACAGAGTTCTTTCTCATCCATAGACGAGGATCAGTTCATCTTTCTGATAACTTGACTGATGTAATTCAGTATTATTTCATACTGCGTTCTGAGCCCTCTGTATTTTTGGAAAGAAGAATTTCTCATAGTATTTGTGGAACTTTGCCTTTTGATACAAATTATGACATATAACTCCTCCTTCAACTACTTGTGTTGCTTATTAATTTTAATTGTGGTATATAGGGTAAGTTATCTATTTTGACAACCCAAATATCTTTGTTTATTTACCTACTCATTTTACCAGAAGACTGATTTGTAGAAAAACCACAGAATTACTAGAAGTTTACTTTTCCAATTTTCTGGTTTTGTTTCTACTTTTCTCTGCTTTTGGAGACCTCATACACAAGGCCTGTGCGTCGCTCAGCTGCATCTGCAGGATTTTTTTTTTTGTTTTGTTTTGATTTTTTTTCTGTTTGGTTGTTTCTTTTTTGGGACGGGGTTTCTCTGTGAAGCTTTTTGGAGCCTGTCCTGGAACTTGTTCTTCAGACCAGGCTGGCTGACCTTGAGCTCACAGAGATCTACCTGCCTCTGCTTCCTGAGTGCTGGGATTAAAGGCGTGTGCCACCACTGCCTGGCTTGCATCTACAGTTTTTTAGGTCAATTTCTTTGTCTTTCTATTCTTTAACTTTATACCAGAATCCTGCACCACTGCATTTCCATATGTGGCAGTCATGTGATTGTCTAGGATAAATGGGCCTTGATGTAACAGCCAATGGACCAGGGTATCTTGGAAGAAGAAAGAACAAAATTCTGCTCCTTTGGCTGCCGTTTCCTTGTTTGTCTCTAAGGTCATGTGTAAGTTCTAAGATGTCAGGAGCTTGAACTCAGCTTTACTCTCATACTTCTTTGGGTGAAGTCATTGTGTAGTTTTCCCAGACTCAGACCATCAAATATTCAAGGACCACAGATTTGATTGGAATAAAGTAACCCCCTGACTGCCCAAGTCTTCTTGCTCCTCACCTTCCTGCCCTGTCATTCATCGTCTTTGCCATCCATCGAGATTAGAGAGCAGTTGAACATTAGTTTGAAGGGAGTGATGGGTTGTTTTTCTGTGTTTTGTTTTTTTAAGACAGGGTTTTTTGGTGTAACCCTGACTGTCCTGGAACTCACTCTTTAGACTAGGCTGGCCTCGAGCTCAGATTATCTATCTGCCTGTTTCCTGAACGCTGGGGTTAAAGACATGCGCCACTACTCCAGAGTGTTCTTAACTGAAAAGTCCGTAAGAACCTATAGTCTGTCTTTTGTTACTGAAAATAATTTTTTTTCATTACTTGATTCTTACATGGAAAGAAACACCGAGTAAAGAAAGCTGTGGGCGAGGGTAGGAGAAGGAATTCATGAAGGTGTATTTTTAGTAATTTATGCATTGAAATATAACAATCTTCACATTTTAAACTAGATGTATGGCAGGGGATTGTTAGAAAGAATATGAAATAGAACTTATATTGAAATGTTTATTATTATTATTACCTCTTACTCCCACTGCAACTGATAATTCTCCTAATTCATGTCAGTTTTTCTTGTTTTTAACATAGTGTACGATCTATTTGTGGTAAATGGCTTATCTAGTTCATAGCCATCTGTGTTCATTGTGCATTTGTTGTGTTGGCCAAGGACTCTCTAAAAAGGAACAGATCTTACACCTCAGGGTCCTCAGTAGATCATCAAGACCAATATGTTCAAAACTGAGCTCGTTGCTTTTCTTCCAGATATCCTATGTCTCCATTCCCCTTCTTAGCTGGCAATACTGTTATCTAGTCTGTTTTTACAAAATCCACAAGTTGTTTTGTTTTTTTCTCTTAGGTTTTAGGTCCTTGCAGCATTTATTTGCGCCTACCTTTTCTTACAACACACACTAAATCTTTTCATCTTTTTTTATTGTTTTTATTGATCTGTTACAAGGAGAGGGGGGCCCTTGTTGCAAGGGAGAGGCAGCCCCTTTGTTTATCCCGGCCACCCTGCTAGCTTACACCGAAATAACCACACAGAAATTGTATTCTTTAAAACTGCTTGGCCCATTAGCTCTAGTTTCTTATTGGCTAATTCTTACATCTTAATTTAACCCATTTCTATTAATCTGTGTATCGCCATGTGACTCTGGCTTACTATCAAGATTCTAACCAGCGTCCTTCTCAGGCAGAAGGAAGATCCATGGCATCTCTCACTCTGCCCTTCTTCCCAGTATTCAGTTCTGTCCTCTCCACCTACCTAAGTTCTGCCCTATCAGGGCCAAAGCAGTTTCTTTATTCATTAACCAATGAAAGCAACACATGAACAGAAGAACCTCGTACACCATTGATCTATATATTTTTCTCCACTCCCCTCCTTTCTCCTTTCTTCCCCTTCTACCCTCTCCCATGGTCCCCATGTTCCCAATTTACTCAGGAGATCTTGTCCTTTTCTACTGCCAATGTAGATTAGATCCATGTGTGTCTCTCTTAGGATCCTCATTGTTGTCTAGGTTCTCGGGGATTGTGAACTGTAGGCTGGTTTTCTTTGCCATATGTCTAAAGCCAACTATGAGTGAGTACATATGATATTTGTCTTTTTGTATCTGAGTTCCCTCACTCAATATGATGTTTTCTAGAGCTCCATCCATTTGTTCACAAATTTCAGGATGTCATTGTTTTCTGCTGTGTAGTACTCCATTAGCACACACTAAATCTTATAGCAAATACATAGTTTGCCTTTAAAATAAGTTTATTATTTTTAACATAAACTTCAAAAATTAACTTTGGTTTTGGATTTTTCCTTTAGTGTTCTGAATCTATATCTTTTTGTTTGTTTGTTGGTTGGTTGGTTGGTTTTTTTCGAGACAGGGTTTTTCTGTGTAACACTACTAACTGTCCTGGAACTCGCTTTGTAGACCAGGCTGGCCTTGAACTCACTAAGACCCACTGCCTCTGCCTCCCAAGTGCTGGAATTGAAGGTGTGCACCACTACTGCCCGGCCTGACTTTCCTATTTTATACCTTTGCATAGATCTCCAAAGCCTTAGATACTGTACCATATTACCAAGTAATTAAGAGGAATTTCCATTTGCGTATTTCATATAGCCACGCAAGTCCAATCTCTTGGTTGTTTTCAAAAGTTACCTTCTCTATTTTATGCAATTGCTTGGATTGGTAAATGTGTGAGGATCTCTTGAGACCAGCTTTGTCCCCATAAATGATCATCCTGAAATCTCTTATAGTTGTCAGGAGTATAGACTGGCTGGGGAGAGTGAGGCAGAGGGATTATTCAGGTCCAACCTGGCCAATAAGGTAGAGCCTAGCCTCCAGTGATTAGTAAGATTTAAAGGTGGTAGGACACAGGATTGAGAAAACATCGCTTCCTTTCATTGACATCTCTTGTACTTCCTTCCCCAAGGGTCTCTGCATGTAATGTAGGGTATCGGGGTAGTGTCCAGATGTTCCAATGGTTGTAGTTGCCATAATCAAAAAGGAGGGGAGCCGCTCCATTGAGTTCATAGCTTGCAGATGAGGTGAATGTGCTGTTTAGTACTTACTGTGATCTGCCTGCTTCCCAGTGATTTGGAGGCTTCCTGTGGGTTAATTTGACGTCTGGATTAATTACAGTTTAAGGAAGTAGACATGAAGTAATATAATGTAACTTAAGAAATTCAGCTGATTCCTTAGTTATGATAAAAGATAAAGTAGATATAAATATTGTAACTGTAATCCTTGCTTAATACCTGTTTGTTGTATGTAATGTTACTATGTTAAAGTTAAAGCCTTCCTTTTTGTTTAAACAGAAAAGAGGATATGGTGTAGGAGGTCCTTCTGTTTGTGTGTTGCTTTCATTGGTTAATGAATAAAGAAACGGCTTTGACCTAGTTGATAGGGTGGAACTTAGGTAGGTGGAGAAAACAGAACTGAATGCTGGGAGGAAAAAGGGCAGAGTCAGAGAAGCCATGGATCCTCTGCCTGAGTTGGATACCAGTTTGAAACTGCAGTAAGCCACTGCCACATGACGATACATAGATTAATAGAAATGCACCAGCTGACTTGTAAACACTGATAGTGGAAAGCATAAAAGCTCCACCCCTAAGCGAAAAGT